GAAATATGGACTTTAGTTAATAATAATATATCAGTATTAGTTCATTACTAGTGACAAATGTATCATAGTAATATAAGATATATATATGTATTTATGTATATATGTGTATATATATGTGTATGGACATATATATATGTCCACCCCTCATCTGTCAGTTTGTCATACTGTGGTGGCCTGTGGGTTGCTATGATGCTGGAAGCTATGCGACCAGTATTTCAAATACCAGCAGGGTGACCATGGTGGACAGGTTTCAGTGGAGCATCCAGACTGAGGAAGACTAGGAGGAAGGACCTGGCAGTCTACTTCTGAAAAAATTGGCAAGTGAAAACCTTAAGAGTAGCGGCAGAACATTGTCTGATATAGTGCTGGAAGATGAGCCCCTCAGGTTGGAAGGCACTCAAAATACAACTGGAGAAGAGCTGCCTCCTCAAAGTAGAAAACACCAAAAACCAAACCCAGTGCCATCCAGTTGATTCTGACTCATAGCGACCCTATAGGACAGAGTAGAACTGCACCATAGGGTTTCCAAGGAGCACCTCAAAGTAGTCGAGCTTAATGAAGTGGAGGGAGCTAGGCTTTTGGGACCTTCACTTGCTGATGTGACGTGACTCAAAATGAGAAAAAACAGCTGGAAACATCCGTTAATAATTAGAATGTGGAATGTATGAAGTACGAATCTAGGAAAATTAGTAGTTGTCAAAAATTAAATGGAACACTTGAAGATAGATATCCTCGGCATTAGTGAGCTGAAATGAACTGGTATTGGCCATTTTCGATTGGACAGTCATATTCTCTACTAAGCCGGGAATGACAAATTGGAGAGGAATGGCGTCACATTCATCATCTAAAAGAACATTTCAAGATCTGTCCTGAAGTACAACACTGTCAGTGTTAGGATAATATCTGTACGCCTATAAGAAAGACTAGTTAATATGACTATTATTCAAATTTACACACCAACCACTAAGGCCAAAGATGAATAAACTGAAAATTTTTACCAATTTCTGCAGTCTGAAATTGATGAAACATGCAATTAAGATGCATTGATAATTACTGGTGATTGGAATGCAAAGGACGGAAACAAACAAGAATCTGTAGTTAGAAAATATGGCCTTGGTGACAGAAATGATGCTGGAGGTCACATGATAGAATTTTGCAAGACCAATAACTTATTCATGGCAAATACCTTTTTTGAACAACATAAATGGTGATTATACACGTGGTCCTCGCCAGATGGAATACACAGGAATCAATTCAACTACATCTGTTTTAAGAGAAGATGGAAATGCTCAATATCATCAGTCAGAACAAGGTCAGGAACCGAATGTGGAACAGACCATCAATTACTCATATGCGTGTTCAAATCGAAGCTGAAGAAAATTAAAACAAGTCCTCGAGAGCCAAAGTATGACCTTGAGTATATCCTACCTGAATTTAGAGACCATCCTAAGAGTAGATTTGACACATTGAACATTAATGACTGAAGACCAGAGAAGTTGTGGGATGACATCAAGGACATCATACATGAAGAAAGCAAAATGTCATTAAAAAGACAGGAAAGAAAGGAAAGACCAAAATGGATGTCAGAAGAGACTCTGAAACTTGCTCTTAAATATAGACTAGCTCAAGTGAATGGAAGAAATGATGAAGTAAAAGAGCTGAACAGAAGATTTCAAAGAGTGTCTCAAGAAGACGAATCAAAGTATTATAATGAAATGTGCAAAGACCTGGAATTAGAGAAGAATGTCCATAAACACAAAAAATCATACCTAGGCACATCATATCCAAATCGTTAAAAATGTAAGTGGGAAAATCTTGAAAGTAGCAAAAGAGATGTTACATACAGAAGAACAGTAATACAAATAAAGAGGCAAAACACATCTATAGGCTAGAAATCAGATTAAAAAACCAAACCAAACCTGTAGACATCGAGTCAATTCCTACCCTATAGGACAGAGTAGAACTGCCCCATAGGGTTTCCAAGGAGCACATGGTGGATTCTAACTGCCTACCTTTTGGTTAGCAGTTGTAGCTCTTAACCACTACGCCACCATGGTTTCCAGAAATCAGATTAGTGTGTGCCTAAAACAGGGTGAAGTGGGGGTATGAATGACTGTGTAGAGGCACTAGGGATGTAGTGGAAATATTCTGTATCTTGATTTTAATCGTGGTTATAGAACTGCTTTCATTTGTCCAAACTCCATCTATATACTTAAAATGTGTGCATTTTATTGTAAATTTTTATCTCAATAATGTTGATTGAAAAAGAATTATGGGAGGCTTTAAGACCTGGAAATATGACTGTAAACTGATGTTAACTTAGTAAAGATAAAAGGGTACATTCTATTATCTTCAGATGACTATTTATTGTGCTTTCTTACCAATTAAGGTTTAAAAGAAACATGTAGCATTCTCATATTTGAATTTTTGAAATCATCCTTGATTCAGTAATTTCCTAATATTTCATGTTAAAGAAATGTCAGTTAAGTTTGGTGATGCTTAGACAGATTATATATACAAAGATGTTTATTGCAGTCATGTTTATAGTAACAAAACAATGGAAAGCAATCAATCTATAACCATCAGTGAATGTTTAAGTAAAGTATATGTTGATTATATAATACTACAAATTCTTTAAAAATCATGCATAAGTATTGCTCATGATATATTAAGTTAATATAATATTTAAAATAAAATAAAAACATTTATAAAGTTAGAGTACATGCCTGTTAAATATATGCAGAAAAAAAGAAAAAAATAGGAAGGATGTACACCAAAATATTAACATATTTTTTCCTCTGTGAAATGAGATTATTTTCTATATTTTTCTTATTGCAGTTTCTACAAGGAATATATATTTCTGTTATCATCAGAAAAAATACTTGTTTTAATATATAGATAACCTTTAAGAGGAATACAATCAGATATAATATGAAAGAATGGCATGAAACTATCATAATCTCAGGAAATCGAACTCTCCAAATGACTAAATAGTGTAAAAAATGATAAATATAAAAGAAGGCTTTAAAATTTGAGGGCCGTTGTTCATTGGAATGGTGGTTGCACAAGTTAATCTCTAATGTTCAATTCAACTCCAAAACTGAACCTTTGTTGCCAAATTTATGATATTATATATTATCATAGACATCTCCATTAAAATAAACTCATAGTTTACAAATAACTCCTTTATAAAATTACCTCTAGGTAGTTCATCTAATTTATGAATAAATACATTGCAACTTTTTTTATTTTGTACATTTTTACAGAGCAAATTAGATTCCCATTCGATAGTTTGTTTATAAACTGTTTCATGACCTTGACTTCGTTCCCCACAATGTGTCAGCACTCTCCCCATTTCCACCCTGGGTTCCCCATTTCCTTTCATCCTGATTTTCTACTCCTTCCTGTCTTTCCATTTTTGATTTTGGGCAAATAATGTCCTTTTGATCTCTTATAATTGATTGTTCTAAGAAGCATGTTCCTCTTGGGTATTATTGTTTATTTTATGGGCTTGTCTGTTGTTTGGCTGGAAGGTGGTCACCAGAAATGGCTTCAGTTCCAGGTCAGAAGGGTATCTTATGACCATAGTCTTGGGAGTTCCTCCATTCTCTGTGAGACCAGTAAGTTTGTGAATTTGATTTTTTATTCTACATTTTTCCCCTCTCTTTCTGGAATCCTCTGTTGTAATCCCAGTCAGAGTGGTCCGTAGTGGTAGCTGGGCACCATCTAGTTCTTCTGGTCTCAGAGTCATGTAGGATGTGGTTCATGTGGTCTATTAGTCCTTTGGACTAATTGCTCCCTTTAGTCTTTGGGTTTTTTTACTCTCCTTTGCTCTGGACTGAAATAAACCAATAATTGTATCTTAGATGGACCCTCGCAAGCTTTTAAGACCCCATATGCTACTCACCAAAGTAGGATGTTGAACATTATCTTTAAGAACTATGTAGTGTCAGTTGACATAGATATCCCCCAAGCCTATGGTCCATTGCCTTCGAGCCTGGTAACTTCATCCCATAAGGTGTTCAGTTATGTCTAAGAAGTTTCCCTGACTGTGCCACTTGGGTGCTCTATTGTCTATATTAATATATGAGGAGCACTTACAGTCATTTATTTAGACATTTCCACCACCAAACCTGTATCTGCCAGTGGATGTGCTCTCTTACACCCTCCCTCACCTCTTGGCATATCTATTTATCTGTGTATCCATTCATAATTTATTGTTCATTAATACTATTGTTGCAGGATTGTCTGTGCTATAGTAGTTACTGTAAAAAACCGAACCCGCTGCCATCGAGTCAGTTCTGACTTGACCCTAGTTACTGTAGTTGTCCTTTATTCCTTCCCCTTTTCTCTGTATCCTCTCTTGCCTTAGTCATGTTGTGCTGATTTCTCCCATATTGTGTATTGCCTTTCCCTTCACCAATATTAACATGTGCTTACTATCTATTTGGTAATTTTCCCTCCCTCCCCATCCTATCCCTGATAACCATCAAAGACATTTTTTTTTTCCCCATGTGTAAACCTTTTGTTACTTTATAATAGCAGTCTCATACAGTGTTTGTCCTTTTGGAATTGACTAATTTCATCCAGAATAATGTCCCCCAAATTCATCCATGTTGTGAGATGTTTTGTAGATTCATCATTATTGTTTATTCCATTGTGTATATGTACCAT